GATTGGTCTCGGCCACTACTGTCCTGTGCAAACTGAACTGAACTGACCTGAACTGAACTGAATTGGAAGTTGAATGTGGTTGCGTCCGTTGTGTGTTTTCTTGGACAATATATTGGACCGCTTGTTTTTAGTTGTTTGGCATGCCCCGCTCGTTGGACTTATTTGGGGTGCTGGTGACAAAGGTAAGTATTGCTTTCAATTAATGTAGTATCAGAAAGTCGAGGCTGTTGAACGTGAGTATGAAGACCTCCTTGGCAGCCCGAATTTTCTCGGTATCAAACAACTTCTGGATCGTCAGAATGCCTTGAAATACCGACTTGGTCATCTTGGAAAGGTGGGTTCGTGCATTGTACTTTTGATCGTTAGGTTTATCGCAGTCTAGTAGAAGACGAAAAGAATCATTCTATCAGTTTGCAAGCCGCTGTAGAGGCGATTCTGGACCTTGCGATAAAAAATGCTTTTGTCACCCACCATTCGCACAAGGTTCAACTGAATGTTCCTACCAAGGAAAGTTTCGGTGATTTGCAGTGCAATAGTGCCATGAGGCTTTCTAAGGTTGGTTCTGCTTATTTCGCAATAATTTTAGGAATTCACCGATGATACGCTTCCTAAAAGCCCTCCAGAAATTGCGAAACTTATCATTGCCTCTGTTCCTGAGAATGATTTGATTGAAAAGGTACTGTAATCCATCGACTAACGTTCTGTTTAAGTTGGAGGTTGCAGGCCCAGGATTCATAAATATTTGGGTTTCTAAGACCTTCGTAGCTCACGAAATCTACAAGATCCTGAAGGCTGGAGTGCAACCACCCAAAATCCCTCACAACTATTCGGTTATCATAGACATGTCCTCCCCAAATATTGCTAAAGAAATGCACGTTGGACATCTGAGGTAGGTTCACTGAAAAAACTTTTCTGCAAGCTGAATTTTTAGTAACCATCAGTATCCTTTATCATGACTCGAGTCATAACGGGGTCCCGTCAAGTTGCTATTACCTTGTTCTTTTTTATTACATGAAAGTGAATACAGTAAAAAGGGTAAACCCCGTGATCCGAAGATATACCGTAAGTGGGAAGGTATGGGGAACATTCAAGCTAGAATCAGCTTGTCGATTCTGTTTAAAGACAAGGGTATGGTACGTTGGAGGGAAGGCCGAACGGGGGAATGCACAATAGTTGTGCTGTTCTTGGAAAAAAGATGATTAAAAGTTAGAAATGCATCACCTGGGGATATTCACCTAAAATGAATGACTAGCCGCTTTTGGGCGAGATCTGCGGGGAAGAATAAGCAGGAGAGGGACATGCGGAAAGTTCATCAGCAAAATCCGAAGTAGTTTAAATAGAATAAGGATAAAGAATCGACTGCTCGACTGTGAGCTAATGACTGGAAGTTGCGTGTTAGGGACGGGTCGTTGATGAAACGGATGGCCTTACGTTTAACCCGATCAAGAAGAGAAAGAGAGGTGAACGAAGCTTCAACCCACACATGACTGCATTATTCAAGTTTAGGGCGTCTGAGCTTTGTAAAGCAAGAGGAGGTGAATGGGAGTGAAGAAAAGTCTAGCGCGAAAGAGGACGTCGATTTTGCGTGTAGCACGGAAGCAAGTATATACATATAAGATGACCGTGAAAGAGAAGATAAGTAAACACCCAATAGATTGCATAAATCTGCGGAACGGAGCGAGTTCGAGTTGAAATTCAAGGATGGGGAAAAAGATGCATGCTAAACAGAAATGGACCTAAGGGAAGTTTCACTGGCACTGAAGAAAACGCAGTTGCTACAGCCTCAAGCGGAAATAAGGCCCAGATCAGAATTTAGGGAGAAACTAAGGAAGGAGCAATCGTCAATAATGCTGGAGTTAGTGATGCGCGAAGAGAAATAGGATAGAGAAGAGTGTAGGGTAGCATCGTCGGCAAAGGCGTGAATAGGATTTGAAGTTAAAGATCAATAAATAGGAAAAGGGAAGGGGAAAGTACGGAACCTTGGGGAACATCAGTATTCAAAAGCACTGAACAAGACATGGTTCCATCTACTCGAACAGAGATGTTGCAGTCCTTTAGGTAGCTTGCTGTCCAGGACAGAAGTAAAGTCTAACTTGGGAAGTTTAGCCAGAAGAGCGGCGTGTAAAACTAGCTATAATGATACATTGCATATCTTAAAAGTATGTGGAACCAGTAGACATGTGAGTCGTGAGACCGTCATCTAAAATGAGAAAGTCATGTTTTTTACATTATAATGTTGGAGATTTGGCGCTTGTTGAACGCTCCAACGACCGGTTACACGCGCTAACTCATCCTGTAGGTATATATGCTCCCTTTTAGTATGCGGTTACACAAATTATGCATATGCAACCACTACTGTGGCATACAACCCCCGTGAATCCAATCATTGCGTCAAGTGGCTTCTTTAAAAAAAGCAAAAGTTGATAACACTGCTTGCATGTCAGCATCGAGTCATGGTCCAAGCAATTTATCACTATTGTATGGCATTCTGGATAATCAAAGCTATGAGTCAGGTAAATCATATACAGGATGAATTTGGCTTTCAAAGTCACACCAAGCTCTGATAGCACTGGCTGCTGCTGAATAGAGGAAGGTTATAAAGGCAGCGTTTTGCATAGACACTTGTTGATGGCACTGAAGGCATTAGTGGCTAACATGAACTCCAGGTTCTAGCATATAGTTCCATTCGAAACTCATTAAGCGTTTCGCTACCCATTAATTATTCCACCTCAGAGTTCAAAGTACGCAATATTTGACACTCTTGTCAGGTCAGGTCATTTGACACTGACCAATCGAAGCAGTCCAGTTCCAACGATGTTGCGTGTGTCTAATGATGGTCTTTTAGGCTCATGCCAGAAAAAGTTGTCTTTTATTTTGCTCGTTTGTTCCCCAAGATTTCAGTTGCTTTGGTTTCTTTCTTCCATCACGTATAATGTTCTTCCCTGGGGTCCCAGAGGTTTAAGTGAAGCGTCACTGACGTGGGATAACCTAGATGAAACTGCTAGAATTTAAGCTTAACAATTGGAGGTGGCAGTAATTTCAATTTTCCACTTTACAGCTTATCGGTAAATGATTTGTCAAATGCCATCAGCTAGCCAATGAGCGATAAAACCATGAGATTGTTCCGCAAAACTCGACCTTTTAATGTATGTTTCATGTACCCATTGGAGGTTTTTAATTCATGCAATTGCATTTCGCCCTCGTTTTTCGTCCAGGTCGACTATCATCGGTGATAGCATTTCTCGGTTGCTATCGTTTTTGGGTCACCGTGTGCTTAAAATAAATCACATTGGAGATTGGGGCACTCAGTTTGGAATGCTTATCGCTCACCTTCAAGAAATGTTCCCGAACTCGGATTCGGCCCCACCAATCGGGGACTTACAAGCGTTCTATAAAGTCTCAAAAGCGCGATTCGATTCAGAGGAGGATTTCAAGACTCGTGCGTACAACGCCGTAGTTAAGCTTCAAAGCCACGACCCAACCCATATTCGAGCTTGGGAACAAATATGTGCGATTTCTCGTAAAGGTAATCTCCGAAACAAATCCCCACTTTCACCTTGCATGCCTTAAAATATTATGACCGATCAATTAGCGGTATTTTCGGTTTCGTTTCGTTTCGTGAGTTCCAATGACTAATCAACGAAACGAGTACGAACAAGAAATCCTAGTTTGATTTTTTTCTTCCAACGTATGTGCATGAACTACAATGTAACGTGCTCATCGTCATCGTACAGCGAAATACAGTGAGGCGAACCCCATTTTTCGCTACCAATGGCATGAAAACGGAGCTGCTGTTAATGTGTGTTTACAGGTGATGATCGGTTAAAGTGCCACTTGTAATCATAACATTGTTCCGTACTGAAGAAATTAGTGGTATACCACTGACTCTCATGAACGGTCTTTTCAATCTCTAATTCGAGGGTTTTAGGAGTGAATTGACTGTTGATCTGTGATGAAATGTAGCCTCTGAGTGTTATTTGTATTAAACCATAAATTCAGGAAAGTGTTGTTACCGTGCATTTCTATCGTATGAAATTATCAAACTATGTACGGCAATGTGGAAGGTTTGTAATTACAATTATCAATGGGTCTCATGATAATCATCATCGTACAGCGTAATACAGTAAAGCGAACTTCACCTATTGCTTCCAACCTCAATGCGTACTAGGTGAATGAGTATGTATAAGAAAGATAAGGATTGGACCTAATCTCAGGGTCGGGAGAAGAAAAAATACCTCTGTGGTCAGCACAGCTCACAGTCGAACTGTGCATACATATTGCTTCAAACATTCTGGTCTGATAAGAAGTAACAGCAAGGTCGGCATTGCTGTTGGTTTGCTGATAAGACCTTCAGTATCTCCAACCATCCAGTTACAGAGTCTTTTGGATCCCAACCCGGGAGACGAGAGAGAGACCTACGTGATCGCCCTGTGCATTCCTGCATACCTCGGCTCTACGTCATCTACTGGCTTCCACGTGACTTACTGTAGTCTGCGGCGGCCACCACACATGAGGCACAGTGCAGTAGGCGACCGTTAGACACGCGAAACGTGTTCCAACTAACGGAGCCTATTGACCTGAATACCATGCACTGACATAGTTTTGGATGCAGCCTCAAACACCCGACGACTTAATTCTCGGTTACTGATCTACTCACTCCGTCAAACCCCAATCAATTGATGACCACGAGGTGACGGATGTCTTCTACTCGTTAATCCAAGGTCTCCATCACCACGAGACTGCACCTTGACGTGGTGTGATGGCTTGCGTGCCTCCATTACCCTACGAGCTACACAGGATGGCTTCTCACAACCGTAGATCCAATCATGCCTGAA